GATGTCCTTGGAACGTGCCATTCTTGCCGAGACAGAGTATACTGATGTGTTCCACCGGACGGTACTTTTGAAGAAGAAAGTTACAAACCGATTTCCCGAATGAATGGTTGAATACGGCTCTGGACACTCTACCGGCTATGCGCCATTCAGAACTGACACGGCCGCCAATTCCCAACTTGCAGCCAAACTCAGGAACATCGAATCTCGATCCACAAACGCTGGGATTATCCAAGGTGGCACCGACGAGCGCTAAGCAGCCCAGTTACAGCAAGTCCTGCGAAGCATGAATTGTTGTTCGGCGAACAACCAATGTTTCTTTTCTGGTGTCGGTAAAACTGGAACAGGTAAATATTGCATTCTCGGTGCTGTCCGGGCTACAAACTAGCTATCCGGTATCGTCGGTGCGTCGGCACGTGAACATAGTCATTGATGAAACCACTGAAGTGAAAGCGAGTTGACGTCGTCATCTTTTACTGTGTCTGAACTACCAGTCGTAGACTACTACAGTACTAGTACTACTACAGCTAGCTTGACAGCTTGCCTCATCATCTCATATCATGACTCATGAGCTCTGCATGTAGACTACTATCAACATACTAGTAATCAAAATTCTTTGTTGCCATCTTCATTAGGTCCGTCAAATAGTAGTAATAGGTTTTTCATTTGACCCGACGAGACCACACGACGCTTGCAGACCACAGCACGAACAGTTCACCAGCCACACTCCACGAAAGCTAGTAGTGTTACTCCTGACAAGTCTTGTTTCGTTCCATAAAAAGTTGACGGGGAACTCATCAGAGGATGATTGTGATTGGAAAGGCTTCCTGTCTGAAGCCTTTCCATACTGGTACTCGATGTTCCAGTTTTGTGACACGAGAATGGCACGAGAATTAGTGTACCGCTGAGTGTACCGCTATACACGTGGTCGACACTTAGTCGACACGTTGTTGATACTTTTTTGACACGTGACCCCGTCAACGGTCTGCTTTGTGCCAATGCCACTCGGTAAACGCCGATGTCGCGTCCGACAAAGACGACTATCCCGTACGCGAAATAGTTGAGAATTGCATGACGTGGACCTGACGGCAAGGACAACTGCGAGGAGGCCCCTTTCGGTACCCCTGACGGGAAGGAGAACTGCAGAAGTCGACGAAGTCGAACGAGGAGGCCCCTTTTCCGTACCCCATACTGCAAAGTGCCATTGATGGATACCTTTTGCACCTGGAACGACCCCTAAACGCTGTCGCGGCGACTATCCCGTACGCGAAATAGTTGAGAACTGCTGACGTGGACCTTTTGCACCTGGAACGGCCCCGTAAACGCTGTCGTGTCGGCGGAGTGAATGTGCAGGGTACTAGGGTGAAAAGCTCAAAGACGTCCCCTCTACTAGTACTAGGCTCTAGGCCTTTGCCTTTGGAGACATCGTCGGCGAACTGAATGCGCAGGGCGAAAAGAATTGCTGCAAATACGTCCGCTCTAGGCCTTTGGAGACATCGTGGGAACTCCTTCCGGTACTATACAAACTGCTGACGTGGCCGTGGACATGTACATGGAGAGTCATGGTGGGACTTCATGTACATGGATATGGATACATGGTGGGAATTCCTTCCGGCACCCCCGTACCGCAAAGCCAACGGTGGGGAAGGAGAAGTGCAGACGTGCAGGAAGACGAACGAGGAGGAACCAGGACGAGCGAGCAATGGCAGGACTAGCTGGACCGTAAGTAATAGCTGAATTGTGCATGACAACTTGACATCCATGCGGCACTCGCCACTTGCCACTGCATATTTCTTGTCCACTAACAATGTCTCTCCTCTGCCCCCTGTGTGTCCACGGCCCTGTTGCTGAATTGGCCCGATGAATCGAATGTCTACCGCAACTGGAACGGCCCCGTGAACATGGTGAACGCTGTCGCGTCGGCGACTGAATGCGCAGGAGGGAAAATATTGCTGCGAAGACGTCTCCTCTAGACGGTAAGGCACCCCATTGATATGTTGCCAGTGTGTGCCAGGGTATCGCGCGATGGTGAATGAGGAATGATGAAGGGTACGGTGGGACTGTAGACCTATTACCTTCTACTAACACGTTATCAGGTAGAGAGTGTCTTGTACTCACGTTATCAGGTCGAGAGCGTATTGTAGTCACTCTCTCTATTCCTGTACTTCAGTGGGACTGTAGACATGTTACCTTCTAACACGTTATCAGGTGGAGAGTGTCTTGTACTCACGTTATCACTATATCAGGTCGAGAGCGTATTGTAGTCACTCTCTCTATTCCTGTACTTCATTACGTTTCAGGTGTACGTATAACTTTTCCAAAAAATTTTTAAAATGGTTCACGTCTTCAGATAGAGAGCGTATTGCACCCACTGTCTAGTCTCTGTAGTGCATTGAGATTTTGTTGATCGAACATGAAATGGATACACAGACAAAGCCAGGCCAAGTACATGGCGAGATGTCACCAGAAGAACGTCTTCAGGTAGAGAGCGTATTGCACCCACTGTCTAGTCGATTTTGTGGATCGCACATGAAATGGATACACAGACAAAGCAGGCCAAGTACATGAGAGAGTGGACGATGTGCAGATCGACACGGCCTGCGGGTACTTCATTAAAGTTACTCGTGACATAACTAGGATAAAAGTTAATCACTGCAAAAACATTGCCAAGTATGTGAGCACTTTGGACTTGACAGAAGAGTGCACGGGCGACGTTGACAAAACATACCGCGGTGACTGACTATCATGACAGCAGGGCACATCGCACGCAGCATCGCAGATCGTGTCGAATTGCGCATCATAATATTGCAAAATTGCTCCTGTGCATGCAAGTGGATTTCATTGCACTTCTCAGTTAGGGAAATGCTCGATTATGACAATTCTCCGTGTGAGTGCACTAGCCCTGAACAGACATGTAGGTGAAGCGTTTGTGGTGTCTCATAGCCTACCTCACGACCTTCTGCTTTCTTTCTTCATCACTTGTATCTTGCAGGTATATCATCCCGTGACGACCACATTGAAGTCTGAATTTGAAGTGTGAAGATGCTTCAGCAACCACATCGTACTTTTCCATTGCTTTCATTGTGCTTCTACTGTGCATGTGTGTAACTTGTGGGGTAAACATGTGATGACATTGTATGCTGGCGACACGGTCAGATGTTCATGCGTCTAACGTACACCTGCATGTTATGCATTGAAAAGGGTTTGCCACTTGCAATACTGGGACGAGTATCAGGTCCGCTTTGTCCTGTGTGGGCTGTATCAGATTGCTGTTCACTTCTCTATCTGTTGGATATGTGACTTTCTGCAAGTTTCTGGTGTATGATGGCCACGTCCTTGCTTGTCACTTTGTATGATATTACATTCTGTATTCGCTGCTTCCATGGCATGGTCTGCAAACTGCAATCCTTGGGCAAATGTCATGTTTGCTATGTTGTGCTTTGGCCGTCAGCTTGTCTACACGCTGTAGTTGAATTATTTTTGTTTCACAACTGACTTCCTCAAGTACGGTGGCCACTGCTTTGCATGGCATTATACATGAAGAATTTCCTGTTTGTGTCGTGTGCATGTGCGTATGTGTGCGTGGCCACGTGTGTGTGCCGTGTGCATACACATGTTTGTGTATCTGTGTGCGGGGTAGCGAGGCAGGGATGGCTGGTATGTATCAGTGTGTTATTGCAATCGCATGGCTACATACAGTACATCGCGCGCGTGGTCATCATCTTTACCTTCGGGGTTGGGGTGGGGAGGGAACGGAAAAAGAGCTGAAATTATCCATATAAAAATCGCTCTGTGAGCGGTTCTGAAAAACCTTTACTGGTACTGCCCCGTCGTAAAAGTAAGAAATTAGAACTGGCCCATTGTCCCCCCAAATGCGAACTGATCCACCTAAATCGCGAATGACGGGACCCGAACGCACCAGTAGCACGAGGTTCCTACCTGTGGATGCAGATGGGGACGTTGGTCCGGACCATAGGCCATGTACTGTACTAGCGGTAGGCTTCCCTATCAAAATAATAAATTCTACTGCTACTACTGGTGTTACCCTATGATAATTGCCGTGATCCTGTGCCCTCCCGACCTCGTGCTACTGGTGCGTTCGGGTCCCGTCATTCGCGATTTAGGTGGATCAGTTCGCATTTGGGGGGACAATGGGCCAGTTCTAATTTCTTACTTTTACGACGGGGCAGTACCAGTAAAGGTTTTTCAGAACCGCTCACAGAGCGATTTTTATATGGATAATTGATTTAGCACTTGTGATTGTTGTGTTTGGTAGGGTTCATAACACCTCCATTCTGCACTATTCCTTTTGTGTTGATTTGTCATATATGTGAGTTAGTTGAGGGTTTACACCTTGCGCCGGTATCTTCTCTATAAAATAGCATTATTCAGCTTAACCCCTTCATTCAACAACTGCTTCTCCTCTGATGAGTTCCCCGTCAACTTTATGGAACGAAACAAGACTTGTCAGGAGTAACACTACTTGCTTTCGTGGAGTGTGGCTGGTGAACTGTTCGTGCTGTGGTCTGCAAGCGTCGTGTGGTCTCGTCGGGTCAAATGAAAAACCTATTAATACTAGTAATCATAACTAGTACAATCATGATTGTAGCCTAGTATGATGATTGTGTGCAGTGTTTGCTGCAAGACTGAACATAGCATAGCCTTCTCGTCATAGATAATAATAATTATTATGCCTTACCAACACTGGCAACAGGCAACAGGTCTGGGCCTCAGTGGGTCACACTACACAACATACAGACTGAGTCAAACCACACAGTCACAGACCTAGTATCTACTAACACTAATTATAACAACTGAATACTACACCCCATGTCACTACAAGCTAGTTTAGAAGGACCCCATGACGACTGCCATAAACCTGTAATGCTCATAAGGATGCTCCTTCAATGGCACACAGACAACATCTTGATGATGGCACGCTTGTGTATTTTACCCCAAAAATACTTCAGTTATGCAAAAGGCCAGCCATGAAGAGGCGAGGGTAAATTAAATGAAGCCAGGAATTCTTGGAACACAAACTGATTGGAGTGAGGTACGGTGAATAGGCAGTTGAGTACGGAATTCACTAGATGCAGGACTCCCAAGAGTTATTTCTGCCAAATGCTCCATACAATGCTAAGTTGAACTTCAACCCATGCTCTAAAATACTCCCACGATGGACATCCATTTGCCTTCGGAGAGTCTAATAAATATCGATTAAAATTGAATGAAAAAGAAAAATAGAAAAAAGTACAACTGGTCAGAACTTCATGGAAATCAAAGCTCCTTTGCAAAGTAAGCAGCTGCACTGTGATGTTGGGCTATAAGAATCTGGTTTACAGGTACGTGAAAACTGCATTCATTGATAACGTGGAACATGAAGGCCAAGCCTGACATAAAGAGAATGATTCTACCGTTGAACCCAGGCAGTAGCACAGACATAAATACTACATTCAGCTAACTCTGAGGGAAGCCAACCCGCTCTATAGAACTTTTAAATAACAGATAATTTACCTCATCCTGGGTACAAAGATCAGTCTTGTTCAAGTCACTATTTTGCAAAATGCAGTTCGCTAAAAGCAAGCGGCAGCATGACCCGACAACTTGCCCATATCAGCTTGCAAGCAATCCAGGGTGCCAGCACTGGTCTTTTCCACATTGGAAAGTCCATGGTATCAAGGTATACACCGTACAGGCACACAGCGATGTAATGACGAATCAGTGTCCATGGGTCTGGATGCAAACTAACCTCATGGCACAAACCAGACAAAACAGAGGGCACAAGTTACTCATTATTGATTATTACTGACAGCCCCAACACTAACTTAGTAACCCATGCAAAGATGCCAAGAAGGATACCGGGAATTTCTGGCACGCACCTTTCGGATTATCACCTGCAAATTGCTTGAAAGTGCGGTGCAGGATATAGGGGGGGGGGGGGGGGGGGTGGTGGTGGTAGGGCTGGTTGCGGTAGGACATGGCAGGGTAGATCAGGACAGTGCTGGGTAGGGCAGGGTAGGTTATAATTCAGTGGCGGATCTAGGAGAGGGCGCGGTGGGCGCGCGCCCTCCCCTCAAACAGTTCGATTTTTTTTAAGTGCATGCCACTGAGGGAGTCGTAAAATACCATTTTACGACTCCCTGGTGCATGCACATGGGCAGTTGCGTAAGTGTTTGCACATGCTGTGACAAGTATTTTCTAGCAGGGAGTCATAGACCCTGGTCTATACGACTCCCTGGTTTATAGTGTCAGATAAGAAAGTTCTTCCGAACACGGAGTAGTTGTTCTCTTAGACTTTGGTTGACTTTTAGTTTTGAAATTAGTGTTCAGTTGACAAACTTGTATAGCTAAGTCGGTGAAGAATATGGCGCACCGTCCGCCCAAGCGGCTAGGGAGCCAACAAACTCTCCACGGATTTTTCGCAAAGCGAACTTGCGCTTCGTCAGATGCTCAGTCGAGCGATCCGTCTTTTGAGAAGAATTCGGACCACCGCGAAGATCCTGAGATCGAGGTCTGCTCAGACTCTGATCTTCCCCAAATGGAATCCGAAGTAGATTCTGACGACGATGGTGGGACTGTCAGTAGTAGTGATGCGAGTCAGGAGCGTTTACCTGTTGAAACTATCGCAGATGACGACGTTGTGACTGTCACGAATGTGGCTGGTGGCACTGCTACGCAGCGAAGTTACTCGGATGCTGTTGATGCAGCTATTGGCGATGCAACTCTCAGCGATGCAGAAAAGCGCAACATACTTGGGAACCGGAAGCCTGATAAGAAGACGGTGTTGCCATGTAGGGATTATCCCGACAGCCGCCGAAAGACCGGTACTTCCACTCGCTCGCTGCTACTGAAGTGGCTTGAGTGGCTTGCCTATTCCGGAAAGGCTGGCGAGGAAGGCGTTTTTTGTGCGCCGTGCGTCCCGTTTCCTACATTGCATCGACAAGGATCAACCCGAGGTGAATACCTCATCATCCATTCTTACTGCTGGACATGGCCATCCAAGTAATCGTATATTTTATTATTTTGCCATTGTTCTCAATCTCAGCATGTCTTGAGCTTTGAAGCACTATCTTTACACAATTCAATGTAGTACGGCTATGTTCTACTACAGCCAGAGTCCTCAATGAAGTGGTTGAAAAAGTGGGAGTGAGTGCATGTGCTAAATAGTAATTCTACATAACCGCTAAGCCTATGACGTACAATAGCCGCTATGTCGTAATGTGTACAAAATACATGTACCGCATGGGTTCCCTGTCATGAATATCACCCGCGCCCTCCCCTCAGCTGAACTCTGGATCCGCCCCTGTAATTATGGTAAGGCAGGGTAGAATTGGTAAAGACCCATGCCCTCCAACGTATTGCAGCACAATAACTGAGAGGCTCATATTCACAGCTGTGCTGGCACTGTACATGTACTTACATTGATAAAAGACTTATAGGCCCAGCAGCGCAGTCACCACCCAACAAGAAGTACTGGAAGCAAGCACGCCTCAAGCTGCGCATGCTGTCTACAACGCAGGTAAGAGAGAATCACATCAAAAGATATCATGTCAGAATCATATCACATGACTTCATTCAGTTCGTATCATAATGCAATCTACTTGATGTACTGGTTGGCTATCGCGTTCGGCATCCTGCTGCTGCTGCTGAGTGAGCTCTCCCATACTCTTCAAGCGTTGTGCCGGTAGCTCACATTTTCGTGAGCCTAAGTATCATGCCTGGCCCCCTTGCTGTGCGTCTATTGCATGATTATAGTGTCCATGGTTTGTTTGCCCGGGTGTATTGATCAATACTAAAGCAGGCTGAGATAAGAAGTACACAGTTTCCTGCTGCCCATGCGGCGGGTACATCTCATCAGAGAAGTTCTACTATCATGGTAGTTACTGTATATCAACAGCACATGGTCAGATGAATGAGTTACGTCACTGCGCACACGCTTGCACACGCTTACCATCATCACCAGCAGCAAACAGAGCATACAGCGCTTGCGCGAGGGTGTTGGCTACAAACGAGTGCGACATCTTGCGTTGCCAGTGGAAGCGGCGCTGAATTGCAAGCACGGCCTCCACATCGTGCAGATCTGCTAGCTGTTTGAGCTCATCCCGCCAGAACTCCACATCGTGGAGAGCAACAGTCATTCCAGCACCCGTCAGTGGATGACGCATGTTGAACGCATCGCCAAGAACCAGAGCACCAGGCTGTAGTACTGGAGCGGCCGGGAGAAAGCTGTTTGGCATGCTCCGAACTGCCTGTGTGCTCACTGCTTCAACGAATGGGCCGTGCAATAGTTCTGAGGGTAAGAAGCACAAGAAACATGTCAGTATAGTACCCGCTGCAGGTAATTTTACCAATGTATGATTCATTGCGGGCAGCCATGATGTCGTGGGATGGTCTAAGACCATGATTGAGAAACAGACGGTACCAGGTTCAAGTCCTGAGTGGAAGCGGAAGGATTTTTTTCCAGCCTTGCTGCGACCCAAAGTTAATTGGGAACTCGTGCCCTTGCACGAGGGAAGCATGAATGCAGTGAATGGGATTCTCGGTCTCTGACCACTTTGGTGGGTCTGGTCTCCTCACCTCCCACCGCTTTAGGAGTGCATCTGCGCCTTGCTCCTTGAAGGGTGGTAGCGTTCCCATGGATGCGGAAAACTCAGCCTCTAGCCGATGTTTAACTATTCCGAGTGCTACTCTGCTACTCTGCAAATCCGTGACATTAGTATTGGCACATGATACATGTACACATTAGTATTGGCATATGATACATGTACACATTAGTATTGGCATATGATACATTAGTATTGGCATATGATACATTAGTATTGGCACATGATACATGTACACAGTATGCTGTACTCAAAGTGTTACTTCGATAATCAGCACATGAAGATACGATTCACTGGCACACTATTGGAAGTCAATTACACAGGACAGAATTGGAATCAACATAACTAGCGCGGACTCACTACCAAGGATACATACCAACACTACACCACGTACCAGGCAGTTGTGGTGCCACTGTCTCCAGTAGATACGTTTTGGCATCGGCTGGCATCTTCTGACCAGGGATGTCGACAAGGACGCGAGTGGAGTCGGAACTGATCTGATAAACCAAGACCGGTGCAGGTGATGCTAAGATGACTTCAGCGAAGTGGTCTCTCGTTTGGGGACAGTTGTGCATGACAAGACCAGCAAAGTTCGATTTGTTCTGCGGACGTGCCGATACCAGCGTCTTGCGCAAGTTACTGAAGCAGCCATCTGCAACCACCGTTAGTGGAGCACGGAATTCCTGGTAAAGAGAATTAAGACAATGGCCAAACGTATACTCCATCTGTAGCAAAGACAACACTTCGCCGTACCGCAAGAATAGTTGACAATTACGCTGGATTCCCAGCCCCTCCCCACACACCACCCAACCACCCATGGGGTTTCTGATCACGTATGTGATCCGTGGCATGCTAAGAGGCCTGAACCGGCAGTGCAAGTGAGATGGGGTGCATAAACTCCAGTGAATAGGCCGCACATAACATTATGGGTGTGCCGTTTGGCGGGGAAGGGGAGACGGTACGTGCTTACCAACAAATACAACTCAGTAATGGACAAGTGATGTGCAGCCTGTAGATCTACACATGCACAGATAACTACACATTTGTGATGGCATACATGGTGTGATCTCAGTAGGGAGTAATGGCTGAGACTTTTCTGAAATGACAGTACGTGTATTATTGTACTCTGTCTGCAGCTATGCATGCGTGTGGATGGGGCAGCTGGGCTAGCTCACTTTGACTTCACTGTCATCCTTTAGACGACACGCAACGCCGACCACGTGATCACCTTCTCTAATCAGGGACAGCGCGCTGCCGTGTACGGGTGTGACCCTGTGCACAATAACAACATGGAAACATGGCAATACGCGCACAGCTTGAGACAGTCGGCATGGCAACCTGACACAGACTGTGATCTGGCGTGTTCAGCTTAGATTCAAACGGTTTAAATTGACCCAGATATTGCCGCACAGAGGGAGACTCGCTCTGCGTTACCAGGTACAGCACAACATGATTGTACATATCGCACAACACGCACACAGTATCACATGCATTAACCTGTCTTGAACTTAGCAGCATACATCGCCTCATAATATTATAATGAACAGAAAGAATACTTTTTTTAAAAGATTTTTATAGAAACAAATTGGTATAACAGATGGGCAGTAGCTCACAGTTGTTCGGCTTTCGAAAGCCGGCGCAGACCAGTAACAAATCGTCCGTGGTGAAACGCTCTTCCCTCAATGGTCTCTCCAGTGTGGTCATCGCTTGGATACAGGAGGTCCACTTTCTGGCTGCTCTCGCGGTTATGCACAACATAGCCATGTGTGCGGTGACAGTCACTCCCATCCAGGCTCTCTGTAAGTACAGCATTGCCGCATACATGCATACTGTGACTTCGCGTAAGTTTTCAAAGTAACGTTAGATAACATAATGTATACTGCATACATAGGACACAAGCAGGGAAGCACACATGCACAAAGAGTCATGTTCGCAAAGGGGGTAAACAAGTCCAAAATGGCTACCCATCAAGTTTGGGCATGATAGAGAGAGAGAGAGAGAGAGAGAGAGAGAGAGAGAGAGAGAGAGAGAGAGAGAGAGAGAGAGAGAGAGAGAGAGAGAGAGAGAGAGAGAGAGAGAGAGAGAGAGAGAGAGAGAGAGAGAGGGAGAGGGAGAGGGAGAGGGAGAGGTAGAGGGAGATGGAGGGGGAGAGGGAGAGGGAGAGAGAAAGAGAGAGAAACAAAGGACAGTCTTGTATCCCCACACCAAGAACAACTAGAGACGGGCACATTCTGTAATATGTGAAGCAAAGAGAAAGGAGCCAAGGCCATGATTTTTCCATCAGGCCATCCAGAATTAATTCGTTGTTTCGGGTCACCCGACCGATCGTCTTTTTTCACCCGACCGCAAAATATTTTTTTTTTATAGTGGATGCAAATGTACAGACTACAAGTTGTAGACTATGTACACACGCGACCCTAATGTCCAGATATCGCCCTCAGAAGCAGTCATCAATGGTCATGGCTAGCCAAATGACAGGTGCTTGGTGATGACGTTGTCTTCTATCTCCGATCCGCAATCGGTCCTGAAACAGCATCAGCTCCGCCACCTTGTCGCTATTTACAGAAGTTTTCAAGGTGAGAGCTGCTCGTCAGACTCGTTTGCCAGCGAGGCCAAGATCTGGTCCTGGAGGGGACCTGGATCTGATGGGACCATGACTGCGCTGGATTGTCTACACTGCAGTCAGATTTGATCGACTGGCTAGATGGACAAAAGCTATTCGATGTACATGTATGCACATGGACGTAACCAAAATAAAAATAAAATAAAATAAAAAATAAACCCGACCGACCGACCCTGGTACGGATGAGTGAAGTGACCCGAAACAACGAATTAATTCTAGGTGGCCTCACCAAAATAACAGACAGACAGACAAATGGGAACACATACAGCTAGGCAGGCTGAGAGATAGAGAGGGACAAGAGAGTTACTTGTACCTTGCAAGCCAAGCCTCTTGAGCGCCCTGAAGCCACCCGGCTGGAGTAGCTCACCAACTATTCTGTCCGGTTGTGACCAATCTCGTTCGATCAACAGGACTTTACGGCCATCTCGTGCCAAGCTTGTGGCCATGGCATTTCCTAGGATGCCTGCTCCAACTACAATTACGTCAGCATCTTCTTCCTTTGATGACGGAGCAAACAGGGCAATATGCACATGCCGCGTGACACACACACACACACACATACACAAACACACACACACGTGCCACCATTGGAGTAACCCATCTATAGCAAATCCATACAGAGTTGCACACTCTTGAGGGCGGGGTATACTCTTCGTAGTACAACAGGCACACGGCAACAGTATACCCAAAGATCTCTTCTGTTACTCAGAGTTTCATGCCAAAGCACTCACTCGACAGCATAACTAAAACCACTATTCACCTGGCATGTATACCCAGAGGTCTGAACAAAGGGTAGCAGAGAACGTGAAGGTGCAACAATTCAGAAAGGAGAGGAGAAGGGATAACAAAGAGCCAACTCAATAAGGGATTATGGAAAGGTAAGGTTCTATCTGGATGAGGTACACTGCTACGTGCCATGCTGAAGCCTGTTCACAGTGCGGATAAGCCTCGCACTCACAAGCCTCACAATACTTCATATCTCTCCATAATTATTTCAAAGCACATCACCTTTTTCATTATTCCTGATTGAGTTGACTCTTTGTCATCCGATTCCCTCGCCTTTCTGTCGCGCCTTCATGTTCTCTCTCACCCCATGTTTTCAGACCTCTGGCATATACTTCGAAGTACATGTATATGTGTGTGGTGAAGAGTAGCTTTAGTTATGCTCCTGTCTAATGAGAGTTTTGACATGAAACTTTGAGCAACAGTAAAGAAGACTTGGCTGCACCATCGCCGTGCGTCTATTTGTACTCCTAGCCGTCCGTCCACCGGACACTGGGCGCTTTATGCAGCCTAAGGCTAAGCTCAGCGAGGATACATAGGCATACATGCTACGCCATAGGCTACGGTATCGAGCCACGGTACCACCTTGTTGCCCCAGCCACCCCGTGTATCATCGATCAGCATTGATTTGGGCTCTAAATTCCCGACATTTTCAGCAGAGCCCTCCCTCCCCTCAGCTCTTCAGATGATTGACCGAACCACCCTAAAATGCCGTCCCATGCTCCTGTACAGTCACGGTGCTCTTGTACAGTGAGTGCTCTTGGTAGTATGTGATGTAGAGAAGATATCGGAGTTTGCAATTATTGATGAAAGCAGCTCGGTGTATCAGGCAAGCTATCACACGACACTGACTGTATGCATGGTAAGTGGTTTACTAGACAGACTAATAATAAGTAATCATGGTAATATGCATGTGATTGCTAGACTGCTACAGTACGTACTGCAGTGTGTGTCTTGTTCACTGCACTGCCCTGTAGCCCTGTACTTACTGCTCCACCAGTGGGCCTGCTAGGATTAGAGCGGGACACGCGCACGCGGTGCCACCTGATGGTTTTCCAACCGAAAGAAAGTGCCCCCAAGCAAGTCACAAGAACACAGCTAGCGAGTACATCGGGTTGCCAGCAATACTGAAGCAGCCAGCTGCCATCACGTTCAGATTCCATTGAGAGTTCAAAATACTACAACTCGGATTCATTTACGATTTCTGACATGACGGGAACATTGATTGATTAGATTTAATTTCGAAAATGCAAACCAGCAGTTGTAACTAATACTTGCAATACAGCCATGTAACTTGTAAGTACTACTAATAAGTAAATAACTGATAACGTTAGACAATCAAGCGCATAGGTACAGTGCTTAGGCTTTCAAAAACGAGCAAGAAGAGATCTGACCCATCCACTGAGCCAAATCACTTCCAGACCATTGCAAACACTATTCACTATTTTCTGGTTCTGTTGCAACAGTCAGTCGATCGCCAAAATGTCATGGTAAACGTGACTCCTTCCCGACCAGCGCAGCTAGCTCGCGCGCGCAGCTGGCAGGTGGAACGAATAAAAAGGCGATATGCCTTTTGAGATGCACAGACTCAGTCAACTGGCACGGGGTCTACCAACCCGACTCTTGCATGCACACACCTTCGAATGCGGGATCGGACCATTTTTATTTTTCTGCCAAGTTTTGCACGTGCACCATGTGCACGTGCCTCACTGTGTAGTGTAGCCACACTGTAGGTGAGACTGAGTTACTCAGTTAGTACATAATAATATTTTCTTGAGACTATCATCAGGGAAAATCGTCTCACAATAGAGGCTATACGGAGAAACAAACTACTTTATAGTTATAGGTTATCGGATAGTGGGAAGTATACAAGGTGAGGTGTGAAAAAAACTAAAGTGGGAGAGAAGACGAAAGAAATTAGAAGAAAAGATGTGAGAGTGTTCTGACGGTGTGAGCTACTACAAAAGGTGAGTAAAATGAAGGCGTGGAAGCAGGTGAATGTGATAGAGTGAGGAACTGTGAGGTGTAGGTGTATGCGAATGAATACGTGTGTGAATGCTAGGTGAAGAGTCTCAGTTTTGTGACATTTTCTTTCTGAATGCATAGATTAGGATTGTGTTTACGGATGAAAACAGCTTTTTGTGAGACGATTTTCCCTGATGATAGTCTCAAGAAAATCGATTAGGAACAACCATTTTAGATACATGTATTCTCATTCATCATTTTGTAATGTCCGCTTCACTTATACTATTAATCGCATTAATAAAGTTGTTGTCTCCTCGTCGCCTTTTCATTTACTTCAAAAGGAGATATTCTGCTACTCAGGTTGATTGCCTGAACGCAATTATTAGGAAGCGCTTTGTTTGCCGTAGTATTGCACATAACCTTACATTCCTCACACAATGTTTAGAGTATGGTGTTTGCCCTCAGTCTATACAAAACCGCGTTCACAAGGCAAAAGCTTATCATTCACTCAAGCTGGAACGTGTTTTTATCAAAGACGATATTAGCCGTAGTAAGGACACTCTTAGCAAAGTCAAATCCCAGTTCGGACATCTATACGCTATGGCTCGTTCCTTTCTCTCGCCGTTGGACTTCTTGCGTTTCTCGAACCTTCTGTCTCAGAACGACGCTAACCAACAAGTTCACCTGATTACAAAATATCGTAAGAATTTGAACTGGCTTCGTAAGAAACGGTTCGGCTCCTTCACCATTGACCATAGCACCATCATCAACATCGCCAATGTAGAACTTAGCAACATAGAGAAAGATCTCTTGTGTAGGGGCATTGATTACGGAGTTCCTCCTACTTCGCTGAAACCTGAAGTGACTTTAATGGAATTTGAACTACTATACAATAAATTGTCTGAATTCAGACCTTGTTCGGATACTCAGAAGTCACTTTGTGCTGCCAAGCTGAGATCGATAGCTGAAGAGCATGCCACACAACAACCAGACCGTAAATCTTTCTCTTTGTCTCGAGAGCACTTGAAAGCCCTCCGAGATCTCAGAGGACGGAAGGACATTATTATCACGAGACCGGACAAAGGTAGAGCCACTGTTATAATCACTAAAGAACAATACCACACGAAGATGGCTACTATCCTTGATGATCGGTCGAAGTTTGTTAAGTTAGGCCCTGTACAGATACACGACCGTACAATAGCTATAGAATCTGATATCATCAAGTACTTGCGGAAGCTGCGGAATGCAGAAGAAATATCTAAATATGAGTACTTACGAATTAAGCCGATTGGTTCAACACGGCCCAGACTTTATGGATTGCCGAAAATCCATAAGAAGGATTGTCCTCTTCGCCCAATACTTTCAATGTGTGGTTCACCTCAATATACAGTTTCGAAATGGTTGTGCGATATTATTACACCAGTAGCTAAGTACTATTGCAAACACAATGCAAAAGACACTTTCCAATTCATCGATATCCTGCGTGAGCAGCCAGTACCGTCTTCTTCCCACATGTGCTCCTTCGACGTTGTAAGCTTGTTCACCAATGTGCCCGTGATGGAGACAATTGACATTTGCGCTAATGCTCTGTACCACGATAAAGAGTACAGTAAACAGTTCGATTCTCCCTGGATGTCCGAAACTGCGTTCCGCAGACTAATGCAGATGATGACAACTGATGTTGAATTCTCTTTTGATGACACCATGTACCGCCAAATTGACGGGGTGGCCATGGGTTCACCATTGGGTCCAGTTCTGGCCAATGTGTTTGTCGGGTTTTATGAATCGAAGATTCCAAGTGCGATGTGGCCTAGCTTATATGTTAGATTCGTGGATGATTCGTTCACGCATTTCCGTAATCTGGAACAATCGAATGAGTTTCTTGGTATGCTCAACAACCTACATCCCGCTCTGAAATTTACATGTGAACATGAGCAGTCAAACCGTTTGTCTTTTCTCGATGTGTTAGTCGAGAAAACGGAGATGGGTGTTTCAACTTCAGTATATCGAAAACCAACGTTCACCGGGCAATACATTGTCTACGACTCCTATTGCTCGACTTTATACAAAACTAATCTCGTACGAAATTTGATCATGCGCGCTAGGCGGATTTGCTCGCCTGATAAGCTTCAGCAAGAGCTTTGTTTCCTGAAGAAGGTATTCGTTCGGAATGGATATCCTGTTCAGCTCCTCAGTAAGCTGTTTAGCGAACCTGATATTCAGGCTGCCGAGCCTGAGTTTGGCCCTGACCCATGTCGTGTGTTTTTACGACTTCCATGGAAAGGTCAAATTTCGCTGGATGTGGCCCGCGCCGTGAGGACTGTTGTCAGACAAACCTATTTTGCCACAGCATTGACAACAGTCTTTACTACGGCCCGTGCGTTCACGGTGAAGAAGGATGTTCTTCCTACCCAACTGATTAGCCATGTAATCTATCATTTTGAATGTCGGCATTGTGATAGCCGATATGTAGGAAGAACCCTTCAGCACCTGAACGGACGCGTCAAACAACATGTACCATTGTACCTATTGTCAGATGGAGCCAAAGCCCAGCGACCTGGACGAGGCCGTCCCCGCAAACAGGTGCCAGTTGCACAATTACAACAGAACCACACAGTACCGGTTGAACGGACTACAAGTACACAGGTACGTGAGACTGAAGGAAATGGCCAAACACAGGTATGGAGACCAGTAACTAGGAGCATGACTCGTGCGCTGGTAATAGCATCTACAACCGGACATGGACTGGCAGCGAGCAGTAGCGTGGGATTGTCGTTGGGTGCAGAGGACGGGATGGAAGCGGAGGAGGATGAGGAAGGTGAGAGCAGTGATGAAGAGAGTGAGTTGGACAACCAAGATGAAGATGACCGGACTGAAGGTGAGACCACAACGAAAGGGTCAGCCATTAAGAAACACCTCTTGTCTAGTAGCCAATGCCGCTCAGTGTATAATGATTCATGCTTCACTGTTTTGTGTCGTGCTCGTAGGTTTCGTGAACTTAAGGTATTAGAAGCTGTTTTCATCCGTAAACACAATCCTAATCTATGCATTCAGAAAGAAAATGTCACAAAACTGAGACTCTTCACCTAGCATTCACACACGTATTCATTCGCATACACCTACACCTCACAGTTCCTCACTCTATCACATTCACCTGCTTCCACGCCTTCATTTCACTCACCTTTTGTAGTAGCTCACACCGTCAGAACACTCTCACATCTTTTCTTCTAATTTCTTTCGTCTTCTCTCCCACTTTAGTTTTTTTCACACCTCACCTTGTATACTTCCCACTATCCGATAACCTATAAGTAGTTTGTTTCTCCGTATAGCCTCTATTGTGAGACGATAATAATATTTGCTCATTGGTATCACCCCATACTGACGCTGTAGATCTACCATGCCAGGACTGACATTAGTCTGTAGAGCAATAATTGCTCCCTTCCCGCTCTTGATTTCCGGAAGTCGGCTGGGTACGATGGCATCCCGACGAAATAATTGCTCAAGATCACGCGAGGCGAGAGCCACAGGACTGGCGCGACGCCACTATCAGTTCTCTACACAAGAAGGCCTCTCGTGCTCAGATCACCAAATAGGCCAATCTCGCTCCTGAGCGTTGTCAGTAAGGTTCAGGAGAGGATTGTTCACCAACGCCTCTACACCATGTACCAACATAAAGAGCCCCACCTACCGGCCTACCAATCTGGATTTCGATCTAAGGATAGTACTGAACTACAGCTCTTCCGGGTAGGGGGGTATCCCGCTAGTGCATGAGATTTCCGCCAGCCGAGATGGAGATGCCGGTCAGGCAGTGTCAGCATGCTTCTTTGACTTATCAAAGGCTTTTGACCGAGTCTGGCATGCTGGTCTCCTGGCCAAACTCGAGCACCTTGGTGACCGTGGCATTGCCCTTACCTGGCTCACAAGCTACCTGACTCGCCGCCGACAACGCGTCAAGGTGGGCTCCGCTTTGTCATCATGGAAATCCATTCCAGCTGGAGCACCCAGGGCTCTCTCCTGGGGCCTCTTCTTTTCCTGGTGTACACGATCGACCTCCTCCCAGCATGTACAAACTCAGTCGCACACCAAATTCAGCAAGTTCGCCCATGACACGACACTCATCGCGACGCATTACACGAGGGATTTATCAGCTGCATTCCTCCAACGTGCCGTGGACGCAGCAGGACGATGGTTGAAGGATTGGCATTTCCTCGTCAACACCACGAAAACCGTCGTCCTTTCCTTCCAACCCCAACACATCATCCACATCACGCTCCACTCGACTCTGCTGCAGCAGGTCCACCAACATAGGCACCTTGGGCTTGGTGTTACACTCCAAGACGATACAACTCTAAGTGCGATGGACCCAACACATCATAGAATCTACCAACAAAGCCAACAAACTACTACACCAACTCCACAAGACACGTGGCACAATGAACGCTTCCAGCCTATTATTAATATACACGACCTACATCCGACCCGTTCTCGAATATGGCAGCCTTGCCCTCTCCAACACCACACAGCAACAGCGGGACACACTGGAGAGAATTCAACACCGTGCTATACGCATCTGCCTTCGGATTCCCCTCTTTGCACCAATTCACCACAGTTCCCTCCTGCAAAGCTTCCCACCTTTAGCTCACGACTCCTTGTTAAACAAGCCCTACTAGCATGCGACATGCACCACCAAACCTCCCCACCACACCTGCAACAATCACATCTTGCACCACAACGTCAACACCAACCATACACCCTTCGACAGACAAGGACCTACTCCATCGGACATGTACACACAAACAGGCACCGAGATCCCCCCCCCCCCCATCAACAGTGCTCTCACCCTCTACAACTCACTCCCTATCGACATCACAACCCAACATCGTAGATTTTTTTTCCGAAACAATGCATCCAGTCTTCTTTTGAGCAGTACTTGTTCCTGCTCCGCGCACCCCCCCTGGTTTCTGATATCGTCGAACGTGTATTTAACTATCTCGACCACCCTTGCTATTGACCCCGCTTGTTTTTTATGATCCATTGCTTCTTGCCTCCCCTGGTAATTTCCATCTAGCTGTTTCTGGCTAGTATCAGTTCTATCACACGTATCAATCATCCGTCCCGAATATTGGCCGGTCACGCCATCGTGGAATACACTGTAAACGTACAATCATGATTCATGTAGATCTACATGTACTGACTCTGTCTTCCATACCATCCTAGTGTATCTAGTCTAGGAGCCAGGGCCAGGGCCAAGGGGTCATTAGAACTGAGCTGTGTCACAGTGTGACACCCTGTGCAGGAAGGATTTTTGACGGATTTGGAATGACATAACAACCAGCAACTGATCGATCCCTGAAAACCAGAATGTGAATAATCACTCCCGGGAGACTCCACCAATGCTCTGTGTTCCCACCCAGTTACAGACAATCACCTGGTAACCAGTCCTGGAGATGTCCTAGATAGGACATCACGGAACCAAGCATACATCTATGCTGTTCCCATAGTAATCGTGACACGTGACTCAAACGAAAAAAGGGTGTATTTGAATGTTAGGTGAATTTCAGTTCACTCTTGATAAAATATGTACTGCTACTTTGCAATGTTATATCCAAGCTGGCTGTCATTACAGGCATCATGTGACAAGCATACTATGCTTGACAAATCATATTTTACCTCATGGTAATAATCTGTGGTAAATACTTCAAGCAGACTGAGCATTCTAAAGCAATTACTATGATCTTATAGCAGCACCGGACCAGTGGGGATTGACTTTGCTGGGTGAGTGCGCACGAAATGATTTGGACTTTTGCTGACAGCTCTTGTCCAGCGTGTGCATGTGTCAGATGGCTACGAGACGCTTAAAACACTCCACGCAGCTCGGAGGTAATGCTGGCAAATGAAGTTATACAATGCTGTTCGGATCCAATGCAAACGTGGTAGAGCGGGTGTAGCATATTGTAACTCTGGGGTAGGCATTTCATATCAAACCAGGCAGCATTGGTTGTGGCTATGGAGCATGTAAGCCCGGCAGCTGCAAACTGTGATTAAAAAGCAAACAGGTCAAACTGTGCTGTGCTGCAGAGGATCGACACCCTGGCATGCTATCCATTCTGGCATGCTATCCATTCTGGCATGCTATCCATTCTGGCATGCTATCCTTTCTGGCATGCTATCCGCTCTAATTGTGGATGGTTGTAGGCACCCAGCAATACTACATGTAGTGATCATACTAGCACCTCCCTCAGTTGCTCCACATGATCTGCTGCATGACTCACAGCCTCAGTAACGTTTGTAAGGTCTACTCAGTCGAATTACTTCTAAATTGGTGCATTGCTATCTATGATGTCAGCAACTTGGTCCACTACAGTACCCGTGGCTGTCCTGAACTGGCTCATGATCTCATCGACAACTTGCTGACGGACGATCTGCTGTGTCTGGCGGGCTACTCTGGTGTTGTGTTGCTCCACTTCGGCAATCATGTCCCGGATATGCTTGGCAACCGACTGCACACATACGCACGCACACATGCATGCACGCACATATACATACACACGCATACGCATACACATATACATACAGGTGAATGCACCTACTTTCAATGATGCTCAATCTGTGGACAGAACTGTTTCGTCCTTTGTGGACTCATCAACTTTTAATGATGTACATTTATGCCCCCCACACCACCACCACCACCACCAGCCTCTTGACCTTTTGACACCCATCGCCAGAGGCGATGATAGCGATGCTACAGCAGGACCCATACCAGCTTGTGCTGGGATTGCACCATTCAACAGCTTCATACTGACCAACCACCACAATCTCAATCCCTTGACAAGACATGCAGAATCCCTGGATTTCTCTCAAAATCCCTGGATGGCACAAAAACAAGTGAAAAAGAGCTTTTCCCACCAAAAAAAACGTTCGACTCTGCAGCTCTACGTACAGCATAGTTCGACCCTGTCACGAGTGCAGTTTGCTCAGTCGGCGCCCGCCTGTCACTTTGTCAGTGCCGATCTTGCAGGCTAGGCATGGTCAGGTCTTCAAAGTGCTGTGCACAGTTCGAAGTGCGAATAAACACCGTACATACCTTGAAAAAAGTTCAAAAAACCGGGACATTCGGGGCGAATCCATGGAGTTTTCAGGAAGATCCTGTATCAGACAAAACTGTGGTATTTCCGGGAGTTTGCTTGAAATCCCTGGGACCCCGGGAGGAGTGTTGATTTTCCGGGATTTTCCCGGGAAAAATGGGAGGGTTGGCCAGTATGCAGCTTGCAAGGCTGAAGAATTGACCGCCACTATTCAGCCTGGTCAGTGGCTTTTTCTGGCCAGTAAATCTCTACTTTTCGGTCTTTTCATTTTTCCCGCATCTTTTTTTCATTTTGTCCCGCACACACATCACGAAACATACTCCGACATGCACTGGCTGTTGGTAACCACCCAGGAGAATGAAAGAAAAGTCAGGAGGAGTCTGCGAAAGAGAAGAAAGACCTGTGTGACCATAATCGTCGGGAATCGAACCCCCAACCTCTCGATTGGAAATCGCTGCATATACCACTGCACCATATGGGACACACACACACACACACACACACACACACACACATGCCCATCGCGGAAGCGATGATAGCGAACCGCTATGTTAGACATAGCAACTTGTGTTGGGATTACACCATTCAACAGCTTGCAAGGCTGACACACACACACACGCACGCACACACACACACACACACACACACACACACACACACACACACGCACACGCACACACACACACACACACACACACACCGCACTCTCATGGACGTAGTACCGACACATTTCAGAACGGTTTATACTCACTTCTTCTATCACAATAGGCAAGCGATTTGAAATCAAGTCGACCAAATCCTCGAGCAAGTCGGTATTCTCAGTCTGTCTTCTCAATCCGAAACCTGGACCGGCCAAGTCTGCCTCATCGTCGTCGTCGTCCCAAGAGCTACCATACATAGAGTGCCCAGGTAGAACGGGTGAATGTGAACTTGGACTGGTGTCTTCAGGAGGCTGGTCTGATTGTGGAGGTTGACCGTCACCACCACCAGCCCCACCACCTCCACCTCCTCCACCACCACCACCACCACCACCACCATGCCCACCACCACTGACACCAGTAGGGTATGTGGGTGACAGTGGACGAGCTGTCAGGATGTTCACAACGTTCTGCATCTGCGCCCTGGGTAGCAATCAAAGACACGTCGGCACATGCGCAAACACGTATGCATGATGTACATGTGCACAGTTACACATACACACGTGCACACGTGCACGCACGCACATACACACAGAGTCACTAGAACCGTAGAAAGTGTCGGTACTGAATAATAGAGTACGGAAACTATCACCAACTACAGTCACAGTCCAGAGGGAGGTCCGTCTCTCTCGTCTTCTATCCGCCAAACACCATAATAATAATAATAGTAGTAGTTACGGTTTGCATGTCACTCATGGAAGGATCCAAGGGCTTAACGCATCTGTCAATGGAATCCAGGTAGAAGAGCCAACAAAAGGCATCTCAATACTGATTGTTAGAACGTATAGCAGTGAAGAACAACTACGCAAGCGCAGCACATTTTCAAAGATATCAGAGCTTCCTCCAACGAACTCACCATTCACAAATACTTCAAGTATAAAATGAATACCAATGCAGTACACACCTGCATGGTGCAAGACAGGGAGTGTAAGTTTCAACCAGGACTTACTGAAGTGCTTGTAACGTCTGTGATTGCTGATCAACCTGAGAGAAGAGTTTCTGCTGACGGAGATCTGCCTCAGACCTGTCCTCATTCGATGCCGGCGGATCAAAAGAGCCGAGAATATCTGCACATAAAGCAGAGAATGAGCAAATTCGTCAGTGTCCAATTGTTCCAGTATGCAGAACACCTGGAAGCTCTCCTATGGAATTGGAAGCTCATACAAGTATAAGTTAGTCACTTGTAACTAACCTAGGATCATGTACAATGAGATTCTTCTATTACTAGCATTGTGTCTGTTGTCTGTAGTGTGGAGCTAGCCCGGGAGCTTGCCGTATTGTGTAGGAGTATAAGCCGCAATTTGAACACTCGAAATTCACCCAAAAAAGTGGTTTGGCTTATACTCCCATGATCAAATTAGCGGTGATAAATAGGGTGGGTGCGGCTCATACTCCGGAAAATACGCTACTACCCTTTGTCTCATTAATAGACAACAGATGCATGATAACTATATTGGTGAGCTACATGGCCTCCACATTACTTGCACTGGCACGCCTCTTGCCCAGACCAGTACGGCTCGCTACCTCGGAGTCACTCTGGACGAAAATCTTCGCTGGTCACCGCAAGTCACCTCTATCGTCCGACGCACGGCTATGAAGCTGCGGATCCTCCGCCAGATCCGGCACTGCCTAACAGTGAGGCAGGCGATGCTGTATTACTCTGCCCTTGTCATACCGGATATTCTATATGCGTCGAATGCGTTTCTCCCAGGACTGTCCGCTGAGCAGCGGAACACAGTAGCCAAACTGGATAAACGTTGTATCCGTTGCGTGGCCGATGAGCACCCATTGGCCCACACTCTTCCCCTGTACACCAGGCTGGGTGTCTGCTCAGCGCTGGAACGAGGAGAATGCAAGCTCCGACTCCTGACATTTAGAATCCGTTCTGGAATCGTCAGTGAGCTGTTGTCGTCCCGAATTGTATTGCAAGGCCCGCCGACAGGCATGACCACTCGAGGTCAATTGGGACGCAACCTTCCCCTCCCCCTGGCCCACAGTGCTTCTGGCGCATGCCGACCGCTTCTAGCCAGCTGCCGACTCTGGAATGGCCTGCCCGACTGTATGAAGTCCATAGTATCTGTCCGTGAATTCAAACGCATGCTGCGCGTATTTTACTTCGGTTAAATGTAATGGCTTTTGTAACCTGCTGATGAGGCTCGATAGAATCATGCTACGATGACCCGACTTGTAAATTTGAGATCCATTTTTTTCTGCTCGTCTTGACCCTGCCTCCCCTCATTGCTACTTCCATTTTCGTATTTCTATTTTCATTTATTTTTCTCTTCATTTCTGACTCCTCTTACTGGTTGTCATCGCTTCCATAATATTGGGCAGAACTGCCCGTTTGCCTTGCGATGTAAAATAAATAAACAACAACAACAACAACAACAACATGGCAATTTGCCCAGCTGGTGATCATTGCCATAGCTGCTGGTGATCATTGCCATGGCTGCTGGTGGTCATTGCCATGGCCAACGACTAACCTTGCGGTCGTGTCACAATCTCCATCGGCCGGTAGCAGTTGTAACGTCGTCGCTACACACAGACAGTTCATACACAATTTGAGAGCAGATGTTTGGTTGTGTGTCAGTAAGTCAACAAGCACCTATGCATTCACAAAACTTTGTTTTATGGGACTTTGTTGCTGATATTTTAACCCAAGTTTTGTGCATACTGAGTGCAATGTTGTTCCTGCTGTTACCAAGCAGTCTATAAGACAATAACCAGTTGTACATACTCGTGCAGATTAGCACCAAAGACGATACACTAAACGAGATAGAACTGCAGTGCATAAACAGGACTCCAGGGACTAAACTTGCTCCTAGTACTGTACACTGCATGCTGGTGCACTTTTCCATCACCCACATGTCGTTGAAGGGGCTGATGGAAGAGCACAGTCGATGTAATCACGTACACGGATGCCATACATGTTTGTGTGAAAGACATGTCGGTAGAGAAAGGGAGAGAGCCAAATAGACAGACTGGCAGACATAACGTTACATATATACATGTACATACAGACAGACCTACAGACAGACATACAGACAGACCTACAGACAGACAGATATACAGACAGACAGATATACAGACAAACAGACAGACAGACAGAAAGACAGACAGATAGATAGACGGATGGACGGACGGACGGACAGACAGACAGGAGAGACAAAGAGGGATGGAGAGAATGTATCGGATTGAGATTGGCATTGTCAAGTCGGTCTGCATCGTTATAAGTTACCACATAATATGTCAGGAGGTATTGGCTGGCACTCTGAGCAGCTTGATATGTTTTGAAAACCCGAACCACAATGCCGTACCCCCATAGGTTGGTATAGAGCGGAAACATTGATCACATACTTTATCTACAGGTGGCCGGTTACTACGCCTACGGCTGCGGAAAACTCGGCCTAACCGAGACTACACGAACCGTGAATTAGGAGAACATGTTGAAAACTCACTCTGAACCTACTGCTGAGGTCAATAGTTGTGATGACTCCAACCCAGTTACGTTCCAGGGTGAATGCTGCTTGACTCTTCACGTCAGCATAGGTATCACTCAGTTGTGCAATCAAGATGTTGAGCAAGACGACAAAGATAGCGAAGAGGTACATCATCATCATGGTGACTGCCAACCAACTGTCAACACAAGCAGCAGTCAATGCATGTGCAACACAAGCAGCAGTCAATGCATGTGCAACACAAGCAGCAATGAATGCATGTGCAACATACAGGCCACAACAGTTAACAATCCATAAGTATAAAATACAACTACAGATATACAGATATACAATTTACTAATGTTACACACACAATCTGAGGAGGAGAAGGAAGAAAATGAGGGGAGGAGGAGGAAGAAAATGAGGGAAGGAGGAGGAGGAGGAAGCGAGAAGGAGGATGAGGAGAGGAGGAAGGGAAGGATGAGGAGGAGGGGGAGGTGGAGGATAAGGAGGAGGAGGCGGATAGTGAGGAGGAGGAGGAGGAGGAGGAGGCAGATAGTGAAAATGAGAAACTCCAGACTGTCCATTGCATAATTTTGCTACTAGTTTGTTTGTTTGTTTGTTTGTTTGTTTTTTATTATTTCAGTTCGTTGCCTCAACAGTACAAAGTACAAATATCAAGAGGGACGAACGAAAAGAGAAAATAAAACAGAGCAGAGAGGAAGATGCAACTGAAAGGAAAGGAAAACTGAGAGAAACGGAGAAGGAATGTGGACTGGGCGGATTCATGAACCATTACTAGAGAGAAACGGAGAAGGAATGTGGACTGGGCGGATTCATGAACCATTACTAGAGAGAAACGGAGAAGGAATGTGGACTGGGCGGACTCATGAACCATTACTAGAGCAGGTCAATGCATGAACAGAAGGGGCAAGTCCGTCGATATTCATGTTTAAAAAATTCCAAGCCTTATATTATTGGTGAAATACATTTTCAAAAAGGAGGGGATATAGGGATATAGTCAATTTGTCGTCATTTAGAGCGTGCAAAAGTTCTGTAGAAAATGATCTAATGTCCTCACTTCCTTTCAAGTGAGCAGGGAGGGCATTCCACATAAGGGATGCTCTGGAGGAAAAGGAATTGTACCCTACCATGGATTTATACAAGCAAATTGACATATTGTTTGTTGTAGTTCCACGAGTTGACCGCTTAGAGGTGGGCAAAGGGAAAAGACTGCGTAAGCATGATGCAGGCTGAACAATATGACAAATAAACGTAAACGTAAGAAATTGATAAATGTATCGGTACTCAAGGTGTTTTATTTGAAGAGAAGCAAGAAGGGGTGGTACAGCAGCATGATATGAAGCACCGCAGGTAACTCGGACAGCTCTACGGAACAAGGTAAACAATCTCTCCCTGGACTGTGCTGATAGGTGAGATGCGTAAACAGGGAAACAATACTCAAAGTCGGGATGAATCACACTAAGCAGGTACTGGCGACGGGCAAATGCTGCCATTTGGCGGAAGGTGCGTCGCAACGCGCCTATCTTGCGTGACACCTTGCTGGTGAGGTGATCTACGTGTGGAGCAAATGAGAGCTTGTTATCGATAAGGATACCAAGGCAGCGAATTACACTCACTTCCCTTAAGGTAGTGCCGCCCAGCTCAACAAGAACGGGTCTTTGTACGTCAGGAGCATTCTTCGGCAAGATCCTCATGACCACGGTTTTGTCAACATTAACGCTCATGCCCAGTGATCTTAGTTCATTGTGTATCTTAGCGAGAGCCGAGGACACGACATCGGCGCATACTATTGGATCTCGTGAGGAAGCGTACAAAGTCTTGTCATCGGCAAACATGAGGAGCTTTGCACCGCTCCCTGCAGCCAGGTCAGGTAAGAGTCGCACATATAGGTTAAAAAGGGTGGGACCCAAGATTGTTCCCTGCGGAACCCCTCGGGTTACAGGGAGAAGAGATGATGTTCCAGAGGCTATACATACACGCTGGTGCCGGCCGTTCAGGTAGGAAGCGAACCATTTCAGGGCAGAACTATGAATGCCTAAGCTGTGCAAAGTAAAGATAAGTTCCTGGTGCACAACTCGATCAAAGGCCTTGCTTAAGTCAATAAATGCTACAACGGTTGTATGACCCACATCTCTAGCCAACGTCCAGTCATTTACAGCCAAGGTCATGACCTGCACTGTTGATCGCTGGGGCCGGAAGCCAAATTGATGATCGTGTAGACAAGTATACAGGTCGAAGTCCCGCAGCAGTTGGTCAAGGGCAAGACGTTCGAGCATTTTGCTGAGAATGCTCGTAAGCGACACTGGGCGATAGTTGGACGGAGAAGTGTGATCACCCTGCCGGGATTTAAGAATGGGGGTGATATTAGCGATTTTGAAAAGATGAGGGAAAGTCGAAGATTGAAGAGAAGTATTGAAGATGGCTGATATAGAAGGTGCAATAACATTGGATGTGGCCTTCAGGATACTGGGAAGAAGACAATCGGGTCCTGGTGCTTTGCTGCTGTCGAGGGAGGCAAGTCTTGCCCTGACGTCTGTTACAGTGACTTGCTTAAACATACCAAATGCAGATTGAGGCGGGGGTCCATCTGGGATGTCGTACCTGGGGTTTAGATCAGTCACTATCTTATGGAAGAAGGTGTTCAACTCGTCAGCTGCAACCGCAGGAGGGATGTGGGAACGACATTGATTAGTTATGTGGTTGATAGTGGACCACAACAGCTTTGGGCTACTAGTAGTGCAATGGTCAGCTAGGACACTGCATCCAATGTGCATTTGACCCCAGGCTTGCAAATTCTCCATGGTCCCCTTCCCCATTCTCCATTATCTAAAATTTTCTGCTTTCCCCTCGTACTTCTTGGCACCTACATACTGCTTCCTTGTTATTGAGTACCTTGGCTCGTTTGCTCTTTTCTCCTCCTTAAGTCCTTGGTCTGTACTACCCGTGTATTGTACAACCCTCTGCAATGACATTTCAAATCTGAGATAGTAGGGTTCTCTTCATCATGAAGTCTCTGTCAAAGTCTCTGCAGGCAACCTTGGCATTGCTTCTGTCTGCACTGGTGGTGCTGGTGTGTTGCCTACAGACATGTACAAACATCAATGTCTGGGTGTTCGTGCCAACTGCCCCCCCCCCCCCCTCTTCTTGCAGGTTTTCCAAGTGGAAGGTAACAGGCTCCTCTCGTGTTCCGGCCGTCAAGTCGGGCAGTCGTGTTCCGGTCGTCAAGTCGGGCAGTCGTGTTCCGGTCGTCAAGTCGGGCAGTCGTGAGTCAGTCAAGTGTCAGTTACATGAACATTGGCAGGAAGAAGCAAAGCCTTCTTCAACCATTGCTACCGAAGTTGCTACCTTAAAAGAAAGTGCATCATCCTATCACAGTTCAATCACCCATGGTGCCAGCCCAATGCCCAAATTTCGCGATGTATCCATTTTCTTGACCCAACCGAGTTGTATGTGAGCTCAACGCAGCTATGTAAAACCATATGATGCCAATCCAGGGAAAAAACATGTGTTTCACTTACTGGTATCCATTATCCGTGTAGTCAACCACTGAGTCTGCCTCCACCATGATACGCAGACCAGTGAAGAGTATGGACTGGAAGGATCTGTAGTACAGTAGTGCAATGAGAGTAACAGTCACACAGTATCGCAATGCAGAGTACAGTACGGATCGGCTATAGCGTTGGTGTTTGATTTTCGTGAAAATATCACTATAGGCGATATATTACTACAGGCGATATGCATACTTAGGTATGCCTGGCACATGCGTGTATGGTGTCATTCGAATCAGTGCAGCGTGCAGAAGCGTGCTGTGCATGTGACTGTGCAGTACGCGCAGTGCACAGCTACTTCCTGCGGAAACAAAAACTTCGTGACTTTTTAACATGAGTTTTCAAGGAGTTGCTGTGCTCAACAAATGTGTTCTTTTGGAAGAGAAACACTTCAACAAATTCAATCGACATATCAACAATATCTACAGGATCGATTAGTGGGAGTAGAGTCTCAGTCTGGGTCGCCATCACGCGACTCATCACCGCTGAAAACCGTTCCAAGTGGCAGGTCGATCGACGCGTGATGTCGTATGTCACGGAGAAGCTCCTCCGCGTCCCTGATCGTCTTCTCTGTTACCTGAATGCCTTCTCCAACATCTCGGCGGAGACCACGGTAGCGCTTCAGCGCTGGTACTCATTACTGCCTCCGCTCTCGCTCGAGGATGCCCCGGAACAACAAGCACAGCCAACGCCAAACATTTCGAATTTCCTCCGAGGGATATCATAGTCATACCATGTACCAGCGCTTCCTGACTGCGCAGCTGCCGCGATCAGATCTCGCCATGTACGATGTATAATTTTTTATGATCATCACTATAGCCGATGAAAAATGTATGCAATAAAATCATTTTGACAAAGAAATCGGATCATTATAGCCGATATATTACTATAGCCGATTATTACTATAGCCGATCCGATATGTATAGAAAGTGGTGGTTTACGAAAATGAATTTGAGAATACGATCACTATAAGAGGTATATTACTATAGCCGACAACCCTATAGCCGATCCGCACTGTACACAGTTGAGCAGCACACAACACAGCAACACATTAGGGAGGTTTCGCTCTACGGAATTACGTATGAAAATAACGTAGGAACTGCACGGAATTTTCATACGTAAAAATCAGAGCTGTTGGGTTTCGCTCTACGTGATTTATCCACGACTGCGAAACATGCATTGTTGCTTTGGAGACGCGTTGGCTGCATGCGCCCACCACATGCACCACGAACAGAAGCCGCGTTTCCATTTTATTTTGCACGTGGTGTACGGTGTGTGTACCTTGTGTTTCGCGTGGCTTGAACGTTGCCATGGACAAATCCGGAAAATGCGAAAAATATTTCAAAAAGTCCTACGGAGGACCCAACGTAGGAAACAGCTTTCCTACGGAAATCCGTAGCGAGATTTACGTATGAAAATTGCCCCGCTCCCCGGCGCGTATGACATACAGATTTTCATACGTAATTACGTAGAGCGAAACCTCCCTAATGGCAGGCTATGCATGACTAAAACATGACAACCAATAGCGTATGACTCTGGATGCCACGGCTGGGAATGCAAGCTGAAACTAGCACTCGTACTTCTAGAGCAAGATATGTGACGGTATTGCATGTCCTAGCGCTTTTCTCTTCTATGCATCAGGATTGTCGGACGCAGCTAATAGGGTTTCTAGGTACTTGTGCCAGCGGTTGTGAGACTTATCCACTCACCCCCACCGTTAGGCACTGTATCTGCCGCTAGGGATTACCGGGTGTTAGCGGCCGTCATGAGTTCCCTTTGGGAACGGACACGATAATTTACTTTTTTCTGCATAGTGAACCTGGGCTACATGTGTGTAGTCGCCTGACCTAGCCACAGTAGTGCCTGCAGGATTGTTAGCATGACACCTATGACATCACAGGCTTAACCCATGACATCATAGGCTTAACCCATGACATCATAATATTTTAAGGCCTGTTGCCAGGGAATAGTGTGATGGCTATACACCTGTACAGAACCCTTGCATTAAAAGCATTGGCTTAGGTTTCCACTACGCCATTCAGTTTTAACCGCTGCAACTGCTATATGCAACAGGTCTATAGCCTATCAAAGGAGAACAAGACGCGGTGCCTTGTTTTTGTTATCAACATTTAGTTGACCAGCATCGTTGACTACCATTTTCAGGTTCTGCAGCAACTGCCCTGACTCACTCCACGGTACCCTGACTCACTACATAGTACCTGGTTTCCTCTGAGATGTCCAGCTGTGTGCCTGTCTCCATACTCTCCGGACGCCGTGACCCAACCAAGACGAGGAAGAAAGAGCCGGTGAATGTCAGCCAGAAGATAATGAACAGAGCGACGAACCGCGTTACGTCGCTCTTCAGAATGTGAGTCAAAATTCTGGTGTAGATGCCGACAAAGCTGGAGAGAAAATCCAAGAGCACAGCGACCACAAAGTAACATGGTAAACTGACTCTAACTTGGGGATAGACTCGGTAGTTCCTTGGTCCTTTTCTTCACTATAAATAACTTGGGGACATAATGTACTGCCACCGTGGAGTAAATATGTTTTTTTTTGTTTTTTTTTTGTTTTTTTACTGAATACCACAGTACCATCAGATGCTGCACAGCGGGAGCGGTGGCATATTGGATGGAAGTGGGGGCGGGGCAAAAGTAACTCCTCCGACCAAAGGTCTCGGAATCATCGTTACTCCTGTGCGCCGATACATAGGAGAAAAGAAACATGTGCATCCAAGAGGGAAGCACCGGCTTTGCAAACGATAATGGGGAGAATTTGAGATTGAGATAGGACAAAACAATAGTAAAAGCAGTGCACCGTAGGAAGATGGAGTGAACTGATAATCGGATTTTATGTCTCGGGTGCCGTGCGCATTGTGTTCCTACAACAGAAATTAAACAGTTGTTGCTAGTGATCAGGGCTTACCGTGTATTAGAGAGCAGCTGCAGTAAGCGCAGGAATGCCAGCATGTAGAGAATACTGAGAAAATACCATTGCAGATCGATGTCCAGCCAGCGTAACGGCACAATCGCCAGCAGCAATGTCACCATGAATAGTTGATAATAGTTATAGACAATGCCACAATAAGCACTCAATCCAAGGCTGTACACGGAAACATACATATACAGGCAGACAGACATTTTATTTTTTTGTTTGTTTTTATGGACTACTGTATATCCCTCGAAGAGATAGATTGGTCAAAAATGTGAAGTCAACAAACCAGCGCATGCCTATAATTGATGGCAGAATGAACAAGGGCAAGTCAATCACAGTATAGGAAACTGTCCTGCATACAGAACCAAGGAAACAGCTTCTACTTACTTGTACGATCAGCCATTGAAGACTTACCTGCGCATCTCTTGAACCTCATCGTACAATGTGTACATAGCTGTAAGAAGAAGCAGGATTTCGCAGATAGCCCTAACCACAGCCTTAGTGTCATCATACACTCTTGGATCACCCAGCTCTCCTGTTGTGGCATTGAAAGTGGACACGCGTTGAATGCCGGCTGACATGGCAGCAAAGCTCAGTAGCAGCAGGAAAACTAGGTAGGCGAAGATGTTAACGCTGTTGCAAACATTCAACAAAGCACAAACTCCATCACGCACCACAGCAAACTGCAGAGCTTGATTGCATGCTCCATACTATTTCAGATTCTGGGCATGAGTGTTCATCTCAATGTTGTGCAGTAGGATGCATCAGTACAGGTGCTAATATCATGACATCACCATACATAATTATGGAGTCAGATGACGTCATAACTCTGGTTCAAGTTATCAAGCCTAGCCCATCACTGCCACAGCATGTCTCAGTTTCGCCAAGTTGTGTTTTTTTGTAATTTTGCCATGCCTGGGTATCGCCTTCATCTCTGGGGTTGCTCCCCATATTAGCGTTGCTTGCATATGCTATGCGATTGAGTTGAATCACTATATAAAAAACTTACCTGGAGGAGAGGCCAGCGTAGCCTGTCCACTTGCGATACGTCAGCAGTCGCGTGACACAATGGTGCCGAAGATCCTGTAGGCATCAACAAACATCATCCACTGAAGCACATTACAATCAGGCCGCATCATGACAGTTCCAGCTACTTGCCCGCTGACCAGTAACGCAGCAGGGGAAGAGTAGAGAGCTCATAAGCAAGTGCATATTACCTTCACTGGTGTGTGTCTTCACTGGTGATAGAAACAAGAAAGTCTACATTGATGAGTTCAAAACTGATAAAACTTTCCAACGCCCATGACACTTAAAGAATCACTCCACTGTACATCCGTGTGGCCATATCGTCAAATAAATTTTTAAGTTCTCTGGTGAAGTGGCAGACACATTCTGGGACTCCTGACACATTGCAAGCAACTTCTCAAGTAGTATCAATGGCTAGGCTGGCTGCGGTCATTGTTCTGCTAGCCTAACAGCCTAGCAGCTAACAGCAAAAGTAACAAAAGAATAACAATGCTTTTCGCGTTGTCCTGCCCCACACAGTAGCTGTTGTAAGTGGCACTCACTCGACTCTGGCAGACTTTGTGATAAGCTGTTGGTGAGCCCCAGACATAGTCCTCACTGTGCGGAACGCATCCGTCAGCGGTCAGCTCAAGCGGTGCATAGTTAATCACAAAGTCATCCGAACGGTCTGTCTCCTCGATCATACTGTCTAGAACTGCAGTGCAGGTTTTCTGTGTAGGCAGATTGAACAATCAACAAAACAAAGAAGACGTTTTCAGAGCTTCATCAAGCTGCTTTATCAGTGCAGAGCAAAACAAAGGGTACAAATGAGCCAATGTTGCCCAAAGCAAGTTGGTAACAACTTCGGTTTTGTTCTTGCTTCCGCCCCTACACATGCCGAACGGCTCTTTTGCTAGCATTGTTGCTATGACTACCACCATAACGCAATAAGCCATGTAGTCTGTAGAGGTACAAGATTGGCACATGGATACTGTAATCACAGTGTGCTAGCTGTTCAGGCTGGTGATTGCCAATCACTGACATCACACAGACTGCTATTCCACTCAAATCATGCTCAGTTGCTGTCAGACCTACTGTGAAACCGGAAAGTTTAACGACCAAAAAGTTAAACGTTTTGTAATTTTGGCATGACAACGTGCAGAAAGTTTAACGATGGCCACCTGCCCACCAATCTGTATGCGCATCTTTACCCAGACATCTAGCAATAACGTTTTTTCAAATAGAGAAAAGTAATAAATTATTGGTCGTTAAACGTTAGACTTTGTGACTTGTTACACTTTCCGGTTTTACAGTAATGTAAGTTGATAGCTTGAGATAATTGCCACCGGAAGCGGCCATGCAATGTCGCTACACGAGTCACCTTACATTCACCTACATGTACCTGCATGGTGTGTGCTAGTGCAAAGATCAGTTGCATCTTTACTTGTACCTTGTACTTCTACAGTTCATGCAAAGTGCAATGGTGCTGTCTACCTTCAAACTAGTGCAACTGGCTGCAACGTCATAGAAATTGATCTTGGGTTTGGACTTGAGGTCAGCTGGTATGAACAGTGATCGAACCCTGTAGAGGATACAGTGGCAACAGTGCTATTGAAATCAGTGAGGGAAGTACTACATGTACTACATGTACAGTGTACACAGTGTACATGTGCACTGTAGTAGTCTGTATACAGTGTACACTGTGTACAGACTACTACAGTGCACATGTATCTATACTATAGAGCAACCTACATACATGTACTTGAAGTAGTCCTTATGAGCTAAACACTAGTAAAACGTGCATACATTATATTTAGCTAGAAAGTGGCCCTGACTCATAGCTAACTAACTTACTCGTTAGAAAATCCTACAAACCGGGAACAACACCAGGTAGTTTCATTGCAGCAAGTGGCCTCTGATCGACTTTTCACACGACGTTCAAACTATGACTGTCGTGTTGGCTCATTTCCTCTGCGCTATTCCCGCTCTGACGTAGACACAGGATCAACTTCATACATTTGTACTACAGTGCCACCAGCCTGTGAAGTCCAACCCCTGGATCTCAGCAAACCAAGCATCCAAGGGCTGGATTTCACCGAACACCACTGCATGTACAGTGGTGCCCTTTGAAATCCAACCCTGGATCTCAGCCCCCCCACCCCTCCTCGGCGTTTTAATGTGCGAAGTAAAATAAACCCAAGCAATAAAAACAAATAAACAAACAAACAGCTTGACAGGCTTGCAGCAGTTGGATTTCACCTGGTATCACTGTGGAAGCAGACTCTAGAGTTTCACAAACAGCTACAGACGATACATTTCTCAATACTAGTACATTGATGAATTTGGCAAGTCGGATAATAAGCAGAGTATCGGACCAAAAAGGGTACTCACACGTCTCTGTTCATGGCCCTCAGCAGCAACTCGGCAATATCATCATCCCGCATGTCTATTGCCACTTCCAGTGCATACTGGCCTCTGGCATTCTTCCAATCGATTGGCACCTCATTCTCAATCAGTGCAGACGTAACCTTTTTGAAGCCTCGCTTTGTCGAGAGGTGGATGGGTCCACCGGTGGCATCATATGTCGACTGCAGATCCACACCTTGTGATATCAATGATCTCACCAGCTCCTGGGCCTAGATTCAGTCCAGCAGAGTAGGCATACAGGAGATAGTCAATACAATCGTCATGTATACATGACATTCGTGCATACATGTACAGATGCATATACACTTTGTCAGTCTGTGTTACCTGTCTAACTAAGCCGACCAATGGGCCCGAAACATGGTCCTCTCATGCACACACGCATGCACGCACTGTGGTCTAATTCTTCGGTGTTTCAAGTGGTGTGATTGGAAATGCCAACATGCTTTTCTCCTGGTTCTGGCGGTCTTCCGGGACAGGAGGAAAGGAGGGGGGGGGGGGGCTATGAGGGTCGTACCTGCTTGAGACGTGTCAGTCACTATGCAAGAATACGATCACATCACAGCAGGATACATGTATGGACTATATGGTTGGTCCAGTGTGTTAAGGATGCTGAAAAGGGTGTAGAGTAGACGCAAAGTAAAGATGGCTCTCTGGTCCGAAGTAAAGAGACTATGGGCACAGCGTTCTGACTAGCTTCTATGCTATAGCCATGCACATCTCTGGGCCAAGTATTATCAGGACGGTAGGCGAATTACCTCATCCTCTGTGGGACAGTGCTTTACGACATGATTAACGGCTTTCTCGCGACTGCCGGTCTTGTGAATAAGTCGCTTGACACGAGCCGTTAGCTTAGCTTGACGCTCGTTCAACCCACTGAATGCCTGGCACTTTCTGATCTGAAATGAAAGCACGAGGATAAGAGCAGCCCAGTAATGTTATCAAAATTAATTGTTCCAGGGCTCAGGGGAGAGTAAGCATCGTCTAACATCCATGATTCAAATCCATATTCATGAAGGTAACAACTGGTGAGTGATCAGCGGTTGTCATTACCGTCACTGTACGGTGCCAGGGGACATACACAACAGACTATCGAACAGGGCCGTAGCAAGCGGTCCGGCAGGTCCGGCAACGCCCGGACCAATGTCTGGGCAAAACAAAAACAAAAAATCAGGTCAAGAGCTAGAGGCGTCTAGCCTGCGCAGGATAGGACTTGATGTTTTGAATCATCAGTGACGACTCGAGTGCATTCGATCAGTTCGAGAAGAAGGTGGTCGAAGAAGAAGAGTGCTGGTGGTTTTTCAATTCAGTCGTGGTTGTCAGTGGTGGATAATTGCAAGTTTAATCCTTACAGAACATGATGCAACTATTCGAGGTCGAAAGGCTTTGACTTTCAAGTAGAACGTCCTTTTTCCTTGAGAAAATAGTTGGATTTAAAGGGGGATGAGAATAGCTTTCAAGCGGACTCGTAAGCACTGCACGGCACAATTCGCTTCATTACGAGGTCAAATGGGACGCAGCGCTTTTAGCTTGTTTGTAAGCAAAGTACTGAAATGAAAACCCCTACAGACACCATCCTCAAAGCAGGTGGTCTCTTCGCTGCAAATTTTACTATTTTCTCAATTTAATATTTGGTCAGGAGCCATCAAGTGTATCAGTTACTGTAGGCAATGTGATCATCCTTGCAGATTTCTGATATCATTCGGAAGGGAGAGCTCGCTTTCTCGCCAAAACATGTACCTACGGGTACTCATAGAATTTACTGGGAAGTTTTTTGTAATGTTTCCGATGGTTGGCGTGTTTAGCTATCACCCTTCACTTCACATTCATTTGCCGTTGGCAGTCGTTTGATGAGCTAGGAAATGCTGAATAAATGCAAAAAAGAAGGAATGACTAAGTACATGTATGTCGGGGTTCTTTGAAAATGCAGCTAGCATCGCGATTGCCATGGCTCAATATAGAACATGCGTGCTCTGCAAAGTGTGCAGCATAACGATGGTGAAACTGGTGGTGGTGGTGCACCGGTGTGTGTGTGGGGGGGGGGGGTGCTAATAATAACCCCCCCCCCCCCCCCCGTAACTCCATTATTGAGGTTCTTGTCAGGTCTGCCTCGTCGATTTGCAAATCAGCTGCGCCTCAGTGCGGCGGCTAGTGGGGATCCCACGATGACACAGCTGACGAAGCAAGCACGTGCTCTCCTTGCAGTGGCGGATGAGCCTGGTGTCAGCGCGTCTGCCGTAGGACCTGAGCCAGGAGACAGCAGAGTATGCTACCTGTGCGGAGAAACTGGCCACCTGAGGAGGGACTGCCCCAAGAAGAAGAAGGTGCAGTGTTTCAGATGTAAGCGATTTGGTCACATCAAGAGGCACTGTCCTGAGGCCAAATCCGAAGGACAAGTGAGTGGCAGGACTCCTGGTGCAGGTGCCAATGCATTTGCAGTATCACCAGATGTCGCTGCTGCAGAGTGCGAAGATGATGCATGTCTTGCCCTCGTTGCCAGGCGTCGTGGTGGCCTGCCGAAAGTCTTCGTGTCGGTCAATGGAGAGCAGACCAGGCTGAAGGCAGCCATTGACTCTTGCTCGAGTCGCTCCCTAGTGTCTTCTGCTGCGGTGCGTACACTGTCTGTGCCTGTCTGCAAGCCGTCGGGTGAGGACATGATCACGGCTATTAACGGCAACTCACTCGATATCACTGGCACTGTGGAGCTGACTGTCTCCCGTGATGACAACAATGTGTACCTGCCGAAAATCAAGGCCAAGTTTCTGGTAGTTGATTCTCTGGACGTGGTTCGCTCTGACATGCTGATTGGTCTTGACGTGATCTCATCGGCCGGTGGTGTTGCTCTGGAGTATTCAGAGAGTGACGGCCAGCTAACTGGTGCTGTGTTCGGAACGAGGCCAGTCGTGGCTGCAGTCGAGAGTAAGATCAGCAATGAAGAGCACTTGCCACGCCACGTTCAGGTCCGACAGGATGGAGACAAGGTCACGTTGGAGATGAGTGACTGTGAAGTGATGTTCGACCCCGAGAAAGGCTTCTGGGAAGTCACTTGGAAATGGTGCGACGGAGCTGCTCCAAGTTCACCTATCGGTACAGGCATCGGCGAGTATTCCCGCCAAGGATTATCGGATGATCAGGAGGTGAAGTTCGTCACCGAGGTCCAAAACTGGATTGATCAAGGATGGCTAGTTCCTTATGACGAAGGCTCGCACGGCGAGATTGGCGGTGTTTTGCCTCTGCTGGCAGTGTGTCAAGAGCACAAAGTGTCCACTCCGGTCCGCCCCTGTCTGGATTATCGCGCGCTGAACAGTCTCATTGTGTCTCATCCGGGCCTGGATGCACCAGCATGTGAAGAGAAGCTTCGGAAATGGCGCCAGTGCGGCGATGCTATGGATATCCTGGATATTCGGAAGGCCTTCCTGAACGTGCGTGTACAGCCTGCCTTGCAGCGGTTTCAGGTGGTGGCTTGGAAAGGTCAGAAGTTTGTCATGCAGCGCATGGGGTTCGGCCTTTCAATCGCACCAAAAGTCATGGATGCTATTGTCCGGTGGGTTACGAAGGACTTTCCGGCAACTGACAACTATGTGGATGACATCCTGACACCACGCCATCAGACCAAGGAGCTGGCTGCCTCTTTGCAACGGTATGGTCTACCAACGAAGCCGCCTGTGAAGCTTGAGGAGGCGTGCGTGCTTGGCCTGAAGATTGATGCTGAGGGAGACCAGCTGCGATGGGATCGTCGTGACCCGACATCCATTGATATTCCTGCTGTGCTGACGAAGCGTAGCATCTTTCGCTGGTGTGGCGCCCTGACGGCGCATTATCCTGTGTGTCGCTGGCTGCGGCCGATGTCAAGCTGGCTCCGTCGTTTGGCCTGTCTGACTGATGCATGGGATGAGCCGGTTCCAGAAGAGTTGCAGGTGTTGTGTCGTGACGTCATGGCTCGGGTGCTGAAGGAAGACCCAGTTCATGGTGCTTGGAGCGTTCCAAGCGGCGAGGAACACTCCTGGAAGATCTGGTGTGATGCCTCGAGTATCGCCTATGGCGTGGCCCTGGAAGTCGACGGCCGAGTGGTAGAGGACCAATGCTGGCTGAGACTGAAGAACGACACTCGCCACATCAACCTATCAGAGCTCGAGGCGGTCATCAAGGGCCTGAGTTTGGCGGTTGAGTGGAATGTGCGCAAGGTGAAGGTCTTGACCGACTCCAAGACCGTTCATGGCTGGCTGAGCTCGCTTTTCGGCCACTTGAAGCGAATCAAAGTCAGTGGGCTGAACAAGGTGGTGGTTCACCGGCGACTCCAAATCATCGATGACTTGATCAAAGCGGCTGACCTCAGCGTTGATCTGGAGTGGGTTCCATCTGCCAGCAACAAGGCAGACGAGCTGACTAGAGTTCCTGAGAAGCTCGTCCAGTACTGGAAAGGTCAGTCAGGCGTCGGCGAGTTTGACGTCGGCGTGTCTGGTGCCTGCATCGATCCATCTGCTCTTGGCCCTGTGTCGCTCCAAGAGATAGCCAGCGAACAGGAAAGTGATGCGGCCATCACAGCGGTGATTGCAGCGAAGACAGCTGAACAGGAAGTTGTCGCTGCTGGCTACAAGAAGATCCAGAATCAACTCTGTGTTGCCGACGGTGTCCTGATGAGGAGCTTCAAGGTGCCGACTGGTGAAGAAGAAGTCGTTCCAGTAGTCCCAGAGTCTCTGGAGGAGAGAGTGTTGCGCGCAGCCCATCTTCAGACTGGACACGCCGGTTGGGAGGGAACCTGGCGGTTTCTGCAATGCCGGTGCTTCTTTCCCTCAATGGCAGCAAAGTGCCAGGACTTTGTTGGCAAGTGTCAGGCCTGTGCTGTTGCCAGTCCGCAGCGTGGCGAGAGTGTTCCAGCTACGAGGTCTGCCATGCCATCTGGTCCGTGGAACACCGTGTTCATCGACACCATGGAGCTCGGCGGCAGTCGTGATGGCAGGTTCCACTGCGTCCTGGTGTGTGTGGACGCATTTACCAAATGGACTGAAGTCGTTCCGTTGCCCCGGCACGATGCACGAAGTGTTGCTGATGCCTTTCTGTCCATCTGTGCCCGGTGGGGCCCACCAGAGATTGTGCGCTGCGACAACGGCACCGAGTTTGTCAACGCTATCATGTCGGCTTTGTTTGCGGCGTTTGGAGTTCGAGTGCAGCATGGTGCAGTTCGTCACCCGCAGAGTCAAGGCACGGTAGAGAGGTTCAATCGTACGCTCCTCACTTTGATTCGGAAGGTGTTGGAGGAAGAGGATGATTGGAAAGCGGCTCTTGATCTGCTGCTATTCAAGTACCGTGTACGCCCGCATAGTGTCACTCGAATCAGCCCGGCCGAGGCGATGTATGGCTGGAAGCCGAAGCGCCTGGTGGTGGAGAAGTCCGGCAGCGAGCTATCTGAGAGCGCTTGGGTGGACAAGCTGAAGATGCAGACGGCCCGGGTGTGGGATTATTTAGACGGCCAGTTATCGCAAGCTGACTCCATCGATGAATCGAGATCTCGTGTCGCTTGTCCCTATCAGCCCGGAGATCCAGTACTGTTGCGACGCCAGGACCGACGGCAGAAGCGCCAGCCTCCCTACGAGCGTGGTTGGGTGGTCGAGGCAGTGGTGGCATCCTCAACGGTCGTCGTTGCGCACGGTCGCGGTGGCACGAAGATCGTGAATGTTGATCTGTTGAAGATGGATCCAGGCGAGGCTGAGTCAGAGTCAACGGAAGTCGACCAGGTGGAGGCCAGTTCTAGCAGCAATGGCGAACTGCCCATTGCCTTTGACCTGCCGATTGCTGAAGATGATCAGCCAGTTGGACGAAGCCTCCGGAATCGAGATACATTGAGAGCCCCAAGGAGGTATGCTCCGTGAGTGTGGAGCTGATGGTGTGCAGTAGTTCATTTGTTCTGTGGTTCTATTATTCTAGGTTGTATCCTAAATGCTATAGGTTTTTCCTTTCACAGCGTTTCGAGTGTATTCCGGTCCTTGCTCGTAAA